GTTTCAACCCCACCTACGTCGATACAAAAGAATATATTATTTAAAATGTCTGAATTATATTTATAACTTCTATCGATAACCTCGATAGATATTTTCTTTTCCCATTGTACTAATTGTTTTTTAAGTTCTAAATATTCAAAGTTATCAAATGGTCTTTTCCCTTTACTTTTCTTTTTTATTTCATTGATTTCATTTGATATTTCCTATTTTAAAAACTCTTTACATCTCATTATTCAAGTGGACCGAAGTATTTCTTTCCATTTGTGAAATGTTTTGAGTATAACTGTTTTCGTTATTGCAACTTGATTTATGTAGTTTTTCACTATATTATATATTGATCGAGGGATTAATCTTTTGACTAAATCATTATATGCAAACCGGTCGACAGGAAGGGTGTCTCTTATTTGTCTTCCAATATCTACTTGGAGAAAGTGACTATTGTATATTTCTTTAACATATTTGAATCAGTTTTCTTTCCTGTTTCTTGTGTGAATACTTTTTTAAGAATATAACAAAAAGTATTTTTTAAAGTGTTTGGGGTGTCCTTGCACATGAATACATGTGCATTGGTTTCATCATATATATTACAAAAAGGACATTTTTTATCCTTATATATCTCAGGTTTTCTTGTATGTAATACTTTCATTGTTGGAAGTTCCTCATTTAGTAGTTTTATTGAGAAAGAGCGAAGTGAGTTATCTCTAGTTGAAGTTTTGTTGTCAGTAATTTTAGATTGTTGCCACAATTCTTGTGACCATTTCCAATTTGTTTCTTTCTTTATATTTTTGTTTAGCCATTTATATATTCAGTGTTATGTAAACCAAGAAATGGTTGATTCAATTTTTCCTTTTACTTTGATATGTTTTTTAATTGATGTATCTATATTGTTACCATTCCATTTGTGTCTAAATTGTTGCTCTCGTAAATATTTAGGATTGATTGAAAGATAGATCCTGAATTTAATCCGAGTTTTACCAATTCGTCCGCTCTTTCATTATTGTAATCCCCTTGGTGTACTTTAATTTTTTTTAGTTCCAAATTAATTTCTTTTGTATAGATTAATTCTTTGATTATTTGTAGTATTAATGAATTACTGTAATTACTCCAGTGTTTTCCTTTACGCTCATCAGTGTAACCTTTAATTGCTTTAATTGAGGATTCACTATCTTTAATTATTTTTATTGAAATTCTATTAGGAATTACCCATAAGACTGAAAGTATAGTTCATAGTTCAGCTCTTGTTGATGAAAGTGGACCTTCAACTTTCCCTTTCCATTCAATTCTTCCTAGGTTGGAATTTTCTACGAGACATAATGCTCCAAAGCCTATACGTTGTTTTTTTATTTCTATATGTTTTGAGCTATTTAAGGTTACATCTGTGATAAGAGATTCATCTGTATATGCTATTATTTGTTTGCTTTTTTGTAATTTTCTAGTACATTCTTCTAACATTTCTAAAGTTTGTGTATCGGTATCAATGATTTTTTGTAAAAAAGTTTGATTATCTATATTATGTTTAAATTGTTTTTTTTTACTTGATTTGAATTATTTTCATGGTAATGTCGTAGAGAGCTAGGAAATATTACAACTCTGGTTTTGATTCTTTTATCTTCTGAATTTCCGATTGAGACCCGTGAGTTTTTAGTTGGTAAATGACTAACTTTTGTAACCTCTGCTGTGATTGTACAGTATTTAGTATTTGATCCTTTATTTTTTGTATCTAGTGTGGAGAGTAATTCTTGTAACGAACATCCTTCACATGCTTTAAGTGGTGAAAATGTCTACTGTTCTATTGTTTCTTGAATCATATGTCTCATTACTACAATTTGGTTACGTGATTTGAGCTCACGAGTTATTTTTCTGATTATAGGTCCTTGCAGGTGGTTTGTAGTTATTATTTTTCCCTTTAGATTTGAAGATTTGTCTACCAAAGTTAATCTGTTAATAGGATTTACATTTGATGATTTTGTATATACTCCCATTTTTGTTCTATTTTGTTGCTGAGGTCTATATACCAGATTGTATTGTGTTTTGGGATATCATATTGATGGATCCATTTTAATTCCAATATTTTTGTCATATCTACATTTAGTAATTGTTCAATATACATTACTCCATATTTTTTTAAACTATCTCGATGTTTGTGATACCATAGTTCTGAGTTCATAAATGATTCAATATCTAAGTTTCCTCCTCTAATCAGGACGGGAAATTCTAGTTCATTATTGATTTGTATTTCAATATTATTTACTGCCAGTAATTTCATGATCTCCCCAGTTAGATTAAGGTTTCTTGCATTGAACTTTAATATTGTTTCTTTTTCCCATATCGAATGTGTGGTCCACATATAATCTTGTAACTTTTGAATTCGTACTTTAGTTATCCAACCAGTTAAGTCCTTCTTGTTTATTCTATTTATTATTTCTGTTGCATGTACTTGTAGTTGTCTATCGTGTAGGTTAAATAATTTGTATCCTAATGGTGAATATAGTATGCTAGTAGATAATTTAGCTGAATGTCCACAAAAGCGACGGAAACAAGATTGTATTTTAGCATTAAGTTTCTCAAGGTCTTTTTCGGGATGTACCAAATCTTGCATTAAGTATTCTATTTGAGGAAATAGAACGTGATTCAGAATGTAACGACTTTGTTTATCAGTGAGTTGTTTTCTACTCATTATAGATATGGTCCTAAAAATTTTTTCTTTTATTAGACTTTTTTGATATGTTTTTTTTCCATTTTCTTGTATCCAAACCCTTAGATATCGAACTGCTTCAGTAGATTTCTTTGGGATTATTTGATTTTCCATGAAATCGATTCCATTCTTATAGTCTTCTTTGTGTCCATTTACGAGGATTAGTTCTGATTTAGATACGTTCACACTTATTTTATTGAGGTCAAAAAACTCTTGGACTATTTCTAAAATTTCTTGCATTTGTTGTTTGTTTTGTGTAATCCATACCGTATCATCCATATATGCCAGAGATGATATGTTCCACGTTTCATACACTTGTTCTTGTAAGGTCATGTCTATTCTCCATTTAAGTTCCATATTATAACCTTTATTTATGAATTCGTTTTCAGCTAATAAAGGGTCATAGAAAATGCACCATAAGAGTGGTGTGATTGAGTCTTCTTGGTCTATCCCTTTGAGTATTCTGTATGATTCTGTTAGTCCGTATTCTGTTATTCCTTGTCCAGTGCAATTTTCTTCTATAAAGTTGATTATGTTTACGATGGCTGTTGGAATTTTAAGTCGTTTTAGTGTTAGGCTCATCATTTTTGCATCGACCGAGTCAAAAGCCCTTCATATGTCTTGAAATAAAAATCAAAGTTCTTTATTATTTTCTTTTGCATCTTTAAGACATTATTAATAATATGTATTAGATACGACGTTCTTTTTCCTGGGAGGCTAGCGTAGTTATTTCCGGTTAGTATTTTGTTTTCGACTAAAATATCTGATAATCTTATTGTGACTATTTTTGTAAAGATTTTTCTTGCAGTTTCCATGAGTGTAATTGGTCTTGTGATTTCCAGGTTCCCCTCCCAATCTTTAGGCTTGGATATTAGTGTTACATTACTAGTTATCCAGTCATTAAGGACTACTCCGATTTCTATTATTTTATTATAAAGTAAGCAAAGTAATTTGATGTCATTCTCTTCTAAGTGTTTGAATACTTCGTAAGGTATTAATGATGGTCCTGTAGCTTTATTATTACTCATGAGTTTAATAACTCTGATAATTTTCTCTTTGTGTATTGTTGCTATTAGTGAATTATAAATAGTATCTTTGATATTATTTATAGATTTGTATTGTTATGCCCATCTTCGGTTTAACGTATTGTCAGTAATTTCAGTACCTTCTGTCCATTGGTATAAGTGTTCTTGTACACAACTTTTAATTTGTTCAGGATTGATAATTATTGTGACAGTATTATTATTATGATTCTGTATGATCCTATCTAGAACTATTTGTCTCGATTCTCGATTTAATACTCTGTCTATTATGGACTTTGGTTCAGTATTTAACATAATTTGTCTCACATCAATTTTCTGTTTGATTTCACGTTATTTTTCTTTTATCAGATCTCGTTTGATAATCTTTCTAGTAGTAGTCCACCATTGTTTTATGTTTTCTATCCATTTCTCTTGAACTAATTCATTATTATTTGAGGGATATGGATCTATATTCACATTGTAGGTAATAGTAAGTTTTGAAGTGATTTTAGAAATTGAGCTAAGATATTGGTTCGATTTATTTGAGTATTTGTTATCCTTTAACTTCTTTCCCAATTTATATAGTTTATTTGCTAGATTTAATATTGGGTAACTTGGATGTTTACACCATATAACATTTGTACGATTTTTTGGTTCTTTAGCCTTAGGTAAATATTGGTTGCCTACTGTGATCAATATTGATTTGAGTGATTGCATATCGATTCTACTGTGTTATTATTATTCTCATGTGACAAGAGATATTGTCCAGATGTTTGCTCAACTTGTGTTATAAATTGTTTCCAATTTTCTTTATTTGCCATCTTTAAATTCCATAATCTTGATATCTGATAATTCATCTTTTTATATTTCATTAAGGTATCTTTGTCACAGTACTTCTGTACATTTATTTTCGTTATTATGCATGAATAATCACTTTTAATATTAAAGATTTTTTTTTTTTAAGTTTCAGCGAGGCCTTGTCCCAAATTTATTTATTAAGAAAATAGTAAGTTTTTCATTATTACA